TTAGGCATGACGGCTCTGAGTCACACAGCCACTTAAGATTTGCTGCTTGTTTTCAGCCATAGGCACTCTCTCCCTCAGGAGGACTTGCACAGGCAACACGGGGATCCCTGGGTCTGCTGTGCAGGCGCTGGAGCGTGTATGTTGCGTGCGCTTAAACTTGGCAGAAGTGAAGCAAATGAGCTGGCGTTGAGCGAGGGTCGTGGCTATTCGAGGAATTGTAGAAGCGCCTTTCAACACGCGGCCATCCTTCTGCCTCGCTGCAGCCCTAACCCAAACGTAGCAGCCGTTCCTTTACACATGGAACAGGATGGTAGGGGCAAACCCAGGCCATGCAGCTCGTGGTGGGTCGACAACGGGAGATCCAGAAGCGGATCTGTCTGTCTGCCCACTTGATGCTCAGTCAGCTTCCTCCTCTGAGGCTCTCAGAGTTCTGTGGCCAAGGGGCGCCTGAGTGCTGGGTACGGAGCACGAGGCCATCAGTAATGGAGGATCTGCTCCATGCAGAAACAGCAGAAAATGGGCCAGGAGGGTTCCTTACAGCCAGGCAGAAATGTCCACTAGAATCTGGGGGAGTGGATCACAGAAGTCGAGTCCTCGGGAGCCTCAGGGAGGATTAGTAGCAGTGATGTTATCGGAAGTGAGTCATCTGACAGCTCGGATCAGAGTCACCCTTAGTGACCGAGGCTGTGTGTCCCTGTGCTTTCTCTGCTGTGTCTGTTCCAGAGAGACCGAGTCCAGATGAGTGAAACACACCTGAGGATTTGGGCTTGGACACTGTAAATGACCTGATGAGAGGTGGTATGTGAGCAGTGTCTAACAGCCTGCCCGCCACTGTGGAGCCGCAGTCCAGATTTCTGCCGGTCACTTGTAGGGAGGGAGAAAATCAGAAATCTGCCCCGGGAATCTGGAAGTCTAGGGAGTTTGTTCGTTTATATATCTGCCCGCTGTCTGGAGCAGTTGTCCTGTAGGTGGAGGCTTTGTTTAGTTTGAGTTGCCCTTACCAGCAGGTGTCTGCTGGCTTTGTTGGTGACACAGGGCTTACCAACATTCCTGTTGACTCCTTTTCCCGGGTCTCCACACTTGTCTTGTTGTTTCTGGCCTCCTAAGTGTGGATGAGTTCCATTTTCCAAACTACCATCCTCTCTCTCTCCCTCCCTCTCTCTCTCTCTCTCTCTCATGTGATTGGCATTTTAAGGACTTGGTCTCTTGTGTATCCCAGCAGTTTTATTTTTGGTTTGACTTTCTTCCTTTCTTATCTTATTGGGAATGGTGTCATTAAATGCATTTATCTCAAGGACTTTTCTCAAGACACAATAACTCTATGACATTACAAATAGCAGGCTGACCTGTACTGCTTCTCGCCATTGTCTTCTGGAACTGGGGGCACTTTGTGGTTATGGTGGGGATAAGTTGTTATTTCTGTCTCTTAGAAGGAAGGAAGCAAGCTCCAGGCAGTATATACGAAATAACCAACTTAGATGTGAGTCTGCCTTTCAGCCAGCTCTTCTGTGTGTTGTATTTCCAGTCACTTCCAGTTGGTTGATTTCCAGGTTTTGTTAGCCTTGAGGAGAGTCCAGGGTTCCTGGGCATTTTAATAGCGGAGGCAATCGCCTCTGTGAAGCGTTTTTATGCCAAATCTTCTGTGAAAAAGGTTTGCTGCTGATGTGCTGATAGTAACAGCCTGGTCTGTGTTAAGCCATATAGAAATGCTTTGTCTGCAGTCATTGGTCTTAAACTTGATTTCTCCTTCTGAAGCCTGCTGTTGACCCTTAACTGGTCTAATCTTGCTGGAGCCTATGTTTTTCCACTATGCCTCTGCAAAAGCTGTCTTTTGAATGACATCCACTATTTTTAAAAAAAGGTTTCTTTTTATAGGTCTTGGGGGTTTTGAAATCGTTTTTTTTTTTTTTTTTTTTTTTTTTTTTTTTTTTTTTTTTTTTTTTTTTTTATTACTATTTTGAGCAGGGTCCCCTGCAGTTTAGCCCAGGCTGACCTCGAACCCCCATCCTCCTGCCTCTGCCTCTCAAGCTTCTGGGATTGTAAGTGTGCTGCACCATACCTTCCTCTTCCTCTTCCACCTCTCTCTCTCTCTCTCTCTTTGGAGACAGGGTCTCACCATATAGCCCTGGATGGCCCCAAATTCACAGCAATCCCCCTGCCTGTGCAGCCCATGTGCTGGGATTAAAGGCGTGTGCTTTTTTTTTTTTTCTTCTTAACTAGCATGTCAGTGTGTGTCATGACAGTTCTGTGAGGGCATTTGGGGCTTGCTGATGCTGTTCGTACAGGAAGAAAGGAGACTGGTTGTGAGTTGCCGCTTATAGCAAAGTGGAACCTGAGCAGCTGTCCAGAAACAACAAAGTGGAACCTTGTGCATTCTAGCAACATTTTCTCCAAGTAAGAAAACTTATGTGTATTGCTGAGTTACCTATAAGGAAGAGAACCCTGTGTTATTTAAGGTTATTTGTGTCTATTTGTTTGTTTGTTTGTTTTGAGATAGGTTTTCTCTGTGTAGCTCTAGCTGTCCTGGAACTCACTCTGTAGTTCGAAACTCAGAGATCTGCCTGCCTCTGCCTCCCGGGTGCTGGAATTTAAGGTGTGCACCATCACCACCAGGCTATAAGTCTCAAAATTAAGGAAGAAACAGTGGGTTTTTAAATTTCCAAACAGACATGGTCTCTTTCAGATGTGCTGAGAACAAAGCAGACTGACTTGGACAAAATAAGTTGGTTTCATTTTCTGCTTACTTGTAGGGAAGGTCATGACTGGAAGAGTCCCACGTTATGGCTTTGAGTAGGAGCAGTGTCGTAGCTGAGTGGTAGAGGGCTGTTAGGTACCCCTGCTGGGCAGTACTGAGGTCCTTTAGCTAGTGTGAGTTTAAAAAACCCGAAAATCTATGGAGACACACATTGCCATGAAGTAAACCCACGAAATGTAAAATGTCAGATGTTTATACCTTTTGCTGGAATTTAAGGACCTCAATTAGAAGTTCTGGTTGGCAGCCAGTGAACATGGCCGATTAAGTAGCTCCGAACACAGCCATTTGTTTGTGGACAAGGAGCCTTTGAGGCAGAAATAGTGAATTGAATGGGTAGAAGGCTCTCCAAGGTTTGGGAATGTCTCATGCTATGTTGCAGTGTCACGGAGAGCCCACCAGGTGGCACCAAGAATCTGCTTACCCATCAGGTCCCCAGCCACTGTGAAGTGTCTGAAGCTCATTTCATCTTATAGCCCCATGTGAATCTGGCTCCATAGTCACCATGGCCTTAGCTCTGGTCCCCGGATCCCTTACTGTTATTATTCACCATCTCTTAGCATCTGGCCACATTCTGCTTATGGGGTAAGCTGTGGCATTGGCTCCCCCTTCAGACAGCATACTGCCCTTCCCTTTTCCTTTTAAAATGAGATACACACTCCAGGCTGGCCTTGAGCTCCGTAAGTGTGCAGCCAAGGGTGACCTTGAACTTCTGATCCTCTCACCTTCACCTGAATGCTAGGACTATAGGCTGTTCCACCACACCCAGTTTATACTAGTGCTGGAGGGTCAGTGCCAGGTTCTAGACTTGTGAGCATGGTTAGTTAGTGTCTCCCGGGCATCCATGAACCAGGTGTGGACATAAAATAGCTTCCCTTCTCATCCCTTTTGCTTGGATGAACTCGCTTGTCCTTGTTGCACAAGTCATCCTGGGAATAGGAATTTTGAGCCTATGGACAGTGTGGTTTTATTAACCTTGCTCTGCACTGAGCCCAGCCAACTGCTTTCAGTATGTTCAAAGACGGTTGTGGCCGGGTCTTCCCTGAAATCCTGTCGTTGCCTGGGGCAATGTGTGGCAGACAGTAGGTGACCATGGAGTCCTGAGCTGTGTGCAATGTGGATCAGATTTGTAAAAATCAGAAAAGAGAGACAGGCATTGGTGGCACATGCCTTTAAATCCCAGCACTCGGGAGGCAGAGGCAGGTGATCTCTGTGAGTTGAGGCCAGCCTGGTCTCCAGAGCGAGTGCCAGGATAGGCTCCAAAGCTACACAGAGAAACTCTGTCTCGAAAAACAAAAAAAAAACAAAAAAATCAGAAAAGAGTCCTTTTCTAGCTCTGATCTCGCTGCCTTATTTTGGTTTCTGACAGGGCACCTGCTGGCAGAACTGTCTGATCAGGGGAGAGACCTACCATCACAGGCAGGGCCCAGAAGGAAGGCACACTCACTGCAGGCATGCTCGTTCGGCTTGTGTCGTTTTATCGGGGACCATTAAGTAAATGGACATTCAGGTTTTTTTTTTTGGCAACAGATGAGGCTTTTAAGCGTATTGGAAGGACATTTGAAGAGGCTTCATAATGTTATTTCATTAGTACGGCCAACCTACACAGGCAGCTTGTTTTCTCTGCCCCTGCCTTCCTCATTCTGTGGCTACCTTTCCAAAGTGTCTGACTTGACAATGGAGTCTAGAAGTTCAGTGTGTTTGGCCGTCCAGGAGCATGTGAAGCTAAGCACAAGCAGGTGCAGATCTTAACTTGAGAAAGCGAGCTGCTTCTGAAGTGATCTAGAAAGTTCTGTTGACGTGGTAGCTGGCTGCTGCTTCAAAGGCTGCCTGTTGTTTTTTGGTGAGTTTGCTAACCCAGGGCCATTTTTATTGTGTGAGCTGGGGATGCTGAGGCCAGCTGTTTTGACTTCTGCTGTGTAGAGTGAGCATCAAAAGCTCTGGCCATGAGACGAAGAGGAAACAGCAGCGGCGGCTTCTTCCACTGGAAAAGTCAGTGCTTGCTCACGGTGCCCTGTCCTCCTCTGTGGAGTTGCATTGTTTTAAAGACTGGCTAGAACTGGCCTGCTCCATACGCCTTGTTGAATCTCTGTCGCTTTTCTCAGCAGTTGGACCATGATGCACTGGGGTACACTGAGGCTGCCCCCAGGAGCTTTTTCTGGGAGTGCATCTGACACATTGTGGGAACAAAACCCTGGAAAACCGCTGGCACAGATCAGTGCCACTAACTGGGCTGCTTTGTTTTTAGGTGATCGGTGAGGACAATGTGGCAGTCCCCTCTCATCTTTACAAGGTGATTGTGGCCCGCAGGAGCCCGGAATCTACGGAGCCGCTGGCCCTGGGGGCCTTTGTGGTACCAAATACTGCCATTGGGTTCCAGTCCCAGTTAACTGAGTTCCAGGTGAGCCTCCAGGATCTAGAAAAGATGTCAGGTCTGGTGTTTTTCCCCCATTTGGACAGAACCAGCAACATCCGGAATATTTGCTCTGTGGACACCTGTAAGCTCCTGGATTTCCAGGAGTTCACTCTCTACCTGAGCACGAGGAAGATTGACGGGGCCAGGTCCGTGGCCAAACTGGAGAAGGTTCTAGAAACTCTGAAGAGCTCAGGTGTGGAACCTGACGATTACTTCCTGAGTCGCTATGGGAAGAAGCTACAGGAACTGAAAGCCAAGGAGCAGGCGGGCGCCCAGCTGGAAAAGCCGTCCTAGTGCCTGGGTGTGTGTTGAGCACCTGTAACGAGCAGGCTCACCCTCTTCAGGCAGCTGCATTTTAGTGGATTTGTTTTCGAGAAACGATGGAATCCTGACTAAAAATCTCTCCAGAGACTCGCTAGCTCAAAACCCAGTGTTGTTTTTTTCTGTCGCTAGGATGTGAGCTGGTGGAGATGGCTTTTAGAATTCCTCTCTTATCCTGTCCAAATACAGCGGGTGGTTTACTCCCTGCTTCTCTTCTCATGACTCTGCTCGCCTCCCATCTGTCTGTGCTGAAGCTCTTCCTCGGGTGCTCTGTGTGCAGTGCTTGGCTTGTACTGTCAGACAGTGAGCCTCTGTGCAAAGTCCCAGCGTTCCCATTTACATGTGGGGACGTTGAAGCCTCTGTATGTCCCCATTGGTGCTTTGCAGAAGTCACCAGGGCACCACAGAGCCAAGACAAGGTTGGATGGAGTTTGACTCCAGTATATACCCATGTCCGTGTGGATTCCTGGCCCTGGGCTCTGCTTGCTGAGAAGGCTCTGTCTCTTTGCTGTCTCCTCAGGCAGAGACACTTTAATACCTGAGTCAGGAAGAACAGAGCAAAGATGGAGGTACTCTGTGGGTTTAACCAGAGCCTGAGATTCCCTCCGGGGATCACATGGGGCCAGATAAGTGTGTTTCTTCCTTCCCTTGGGGCATGCTAAAGGAGCCCAAGAAAGGTGTGTGCTGAGTCAGTCCCCAGGTACCTACACTACAGGTGGGTAGAGCCTCGGCCACTCCTGTGGGAAAGAACAGCTGTCTTCTGTCTTCCTGTGCTGATCTCTGGCCAAAGTTTACAGAGTCTTGAGCTATCCCTAGTGTAGACAGTGCAGTGGCTTCCAGGCAGGACTTGTCTGAATCTGTCACTCTGCTATCGTCTTCCAAGCAGCGGAATGAGGGCGATCTTTGAGGTGCTGTGTTTGCCTCTGATAGAAATGCCATGGCTTTACAAGAAACATAAGGCAGTGGTTGACCCTGTTCTGCTCCTTCATTTGAGTAAAAAGAAAAAGTTGGGTTGGGGCACAATAGCTGATCTTACTGTTCCCCATTGGCGTGTGCCAGCCCTCCTAAGGATAGAAAGCCAAAATGTCACCATGACCAAAAAAAATCTGTTACTTTCTCTCCTCAAAAGAGAGGTGATGTGGGACCTGGGTGTTCCTCCAGGAGCCCAGGAGGCTTGGGGCACACCTGACGGGCTGTGACCTAGGTCCCTCCATGAATTCATGCCTTCGAGCCCCTTGCCATCCTGTCATGCTGGCCTGACTTGCTGGTGGTCTTGGGGTGGCTGTCTTCACTCCCGTCTCTCCTAGATGGTGAGGAATCTTGACTGTTTCAGTAAGTCAATGTATCTTGGGATTTTATTTCCTATGAAATAAAATCCTGGTCATCACGAGAAATAGAGGTAAGAACATAACACAGTATGCCAGACCTCGTTTATTTTCCTTTGGAGTTTTCGTGTGAGTGTTTTGCCTGTATGCATCTGTGCCCACAGCACGAGTGCCTGTTGCCCACAGTGGTTAGAAGAGGCCATTGGATTCCCCCTGGAAATGGAGCTACAGATGGTTCTGAGCCACCATGTCAATGCTGGGAATGGCACTGGGGTCCTCTGCAAGAGCAGCCAGGACTCTCAAGCACCGACCTCATCTTTTATGTGTAAAACTTACATCGGTGTACAACAGTGGTGCTGGAGTTGTCGTTTGAACATTGTCATTACGAGTGCCCCGAACAGAGGTTTAGAATTTCCCTCTGGATCAGGTCGCTGTGGCCCCCTCAGAGTAGCTGTCGATTTTCCTGGGTTCCAATGCAGTAGATTCCTGGGCCTCACTTGAGTCAGAGACAACGCTGTGACCGGTCAAACCTGACTGGGTCCCTGTCCATTTGTTACCTTAGTGGATTGCCTCGGGTTCTCAGGCTTAGCCTGGACCCCGCCCTCTGTGCCATTTACCTGCCCAGTTCCTGGTCTGAAGGAATGACCAGGCTGGGAGGGCTCTGCTGTGGTAAGTCCCTGTCTGTGGTAGGGAATCTAATCCTTAATCTTTCCCAATTTCCAGCAACTGCTTCAAACTCTGATTTCTGGATTGAGAAATTTGACCAAAGTTGAACACAGCAAAGGCCCTTACTAAGTTACAAAGGGTAGTGAAGGGGATGCCGGCCTTCATCAGCAGAAACCTCAGTCCTTCCTAGGCCTTTGATCAGAGCCTTTGATCAGGCAAGAGAGGCAGCCTGAGGCTGAGAGAGTGGCTTCCTGCAGAGCTCAGTTTGCGGCCTGACATCCCAGAATGATCCTCTGTGTTGCCATGTCACCTGTGTCCCCTGCCTGGTCTCTGAGGGTGTCATCGAGCTCACTGGATTTGTCGCAGACTTGTGTTAACAGCCTGTTGTGACCGGGGATCTAGCATGTGTCCCATCAACACGTCCCAACCTGTGCAGCAGTTTTGAAGGTTGGGGAACCCTGAGGAGGCGAGGCCTAGCTGGTGGGAGTAGGTCGGCAGAAGCAGGCTTTGAAGGTTCAGCCCCCTTGGTTCTGGCCTGTGTACTTGCTTCCTGTCTGCCACTGTCTGTCACCAGGTGAACACCCTCTGCCTCATGATCCTGCCTTCCTGGCCATGGTGGACTGAAATCCCTGCAGTCCATTGTAAAGCGCAAAGAAACACTTCCTGAAGTGGCTTCTGTCAGGGATTTGTCACAGTGACAAGTAATACTCAGCCTAACCCTGAACCCTGCTGACTGCTCGGCCCTCAACACTCGGCCTTGTTTCTTCCTGTGAGCTCTTCTAACACACCTCTGTCTAAAGACTTAAAAGTCCCCAGAACCTCACTCTAGTTTGTCCTGGTGGAACTGATAGGGCTGGCATCACACATGAGGAACCAACCATGTTATTAGGAAGGTTGAGAACCACTGATCCAGAGCAATTATCTGTTCATTGATCTAGAGCAATTACCTGTTTGGTTAAAAAAAATACATAGAGATTTCTTAACTGCTCCCTACAGATTGTGACTCAGGAGGTCCGTTATGAGGCTGGGATTTTCATTTTAAGAAATTATTGTGTGTGTATGGATGCTTTGCTTGCATGTCTGTCTGTATATCTGTGCATGCCTAGTGCCCAAGGAGGCCAGAACAGTGCAGATCTCACAGCTCTCCTGGGAGCTATAGATGGTTGTGGGTCCTGGGAATCGAACTCAGGCTCTTTGGAAGAGCAGCCCAGTGTTGCTAACCACTGAGTCACCTCTGCAACCCCACTTTCCATTGTTTAATTTTAAAGTGTGTGTGTGTGTGTGTGTGTGTGTGTGTGTACGCACACACACGCTTGTGCACATGGGTATGAGGATATGCGTATTTCACAGTGTGTGTGGATAGCAGAGGATAACCTCAGACGTCAGCAGGAGGCAGACTCTCGGACGCGCTGCTGTGTACACCAGGCTCTGTGTCTTTAAGCTTCTGAGTGTTCTGGCTCTGCACCCCTTTTTCCTTAGGAGTGCTGTGATCACAGACTTGCCCTGCCATCTCTGCCCTACCTGTGTCGGGGAACTGGCACGTGGATCTTCACACTTGTGGCATTGGTGACTTACCCCATGAACTGTCTCCCCAGCCCTGGAATATGTAATTTAAAATTAAGAATGGTTCGTGGAAACGTCTTCCAAAAGTGAAGATAGTTTTCTCTGCGGATTTGGGACAGGGAGGGAACATTACATGTGCCATATATCCTAGGTTTAAACCCTTTTGATATTTCTCAAGCTTAATAAAATTGGGTTGTTTGTTTAAAAAAGAATGGTGACTGATGATCAGCCAGGACTGACTCCAGGCTGTCCCCTCTATGCCCTCACCTTCCTGCTGATACTGGCTTTTGCCTGAGGGTCCTTTCAAGAGAGGCAATTCATAAAGACACCGCAGCAGCTGACTGACATGCTCTTGTACAGGGCACTTCACAGGAAAACTCTCAGGATGTGCCACACCGAGTCCAGGGAGTGGCTGACCCCATGCACGCTCCAGCTTTCTCTCGTACGTTGGTTCATGTGGAACCCTTGTTGGGTCTTTCATCTAGTCCACTGTCAGCTCCCGAGTGCTGGGCTTAAAGGTGCGCACCACCACCGCCCAGCTACACAGGGGGAACCTTAGATATGCAACTGTTAAGATTTCCTTTTTACAGTTTCTCCCCACTCAAACAAGTTTACATGCAGGATGGTTCTGACTTATTTAGCCAACTGACACGTTAGCTGTGCCTCTCAGCTTTGACATTGCAGATTGAATAAACAGGCTTTCAGTGTGTTTGTTAAAAATAAAAAAAAAATTGATGGGGACACAAAGGGGAGATCTTGTTGGTACAGAATTCATTTGACATGGCATCCCGTATTGTATGTTCACCCGTTACATGTGAAACTACGCTCTGGTAATTTCTGTTAAGTTCATATTTGTTTCTTTTAAAAAGGAAAATAGCCAGGCTGTGGTGGCACACAAGTTTAATTCCAACACTCAGGAGGCAGAGACAGGCGGATCTCTGTGAGTTCGAGACCAGCCTGGTCTACAAGAGCAAGTTCCAGGACAGCCTCCAAAAGGTAGCTTGTTTGAAAAACAAACAAACAAACAAACAATAAATAAATAGGAAAACAATGGCTGGGCCTGGTGTAATCCCAGCTCATAGGTGGATCTCTATTGAGTTCAGTGCCAGACTGGTTTGCATAGTGAGTTCCAGGCCAGCCAGTGCCCAGCTGCGTAGTGAGACCCTGTCTCAGAACAACAACAAAATAATCAATTGATGCACAATACAGAAATGAGTCTGCATGACAGCTTGCCTGTGATTCACTCGAGGGCGTCTAGAGGGCCTGCCACATCTGTAGGTCCATAGGGTGTGGCTGAACCAAGGCTTTGGAGATGGGAGCAGGTGGGGTGCTGCTTGAGATGGGTACCAGTTCCGTCTGCCCGTGCTTCAGCAGGGCAGCCTTGGCCAGCTGACATCTTCCTTAATGAGACACCCCATATGGAAACGGGTTGAGAGGATTGGAAGAGGATTGAATGCATGCAGGTTGATAAATTCTTAAGTGGTGGCCGGTTACTTAATTGTCAGCTTGCAGGTGACTGGTGAAGGTCAGTGGGAAGGTACAGGTCAGCCTGCGGTGTTAAGCTGCTGACCAGGCAGAAGCAGTTCTGTCTTGGACACCCTGAAACTATAACATGTTGCTTGCTGCATATCTTGTCAGGGCTCCCCTGGGAGGTGCTGTAAGGAAACTCAAATGTAGGAACTTGAGTTTTCCAGCCCGTGGTCTAATGCCTACCCTGTATCTGCAGGTTGCTGAGTAATTTTCACTTGTTTTAATTTAGTCATTCGAGCATCCACTCAACCCTGCTAATGTGCTAGAGGCAGACACTAATAGAGTTGACTCCATTCTGGGGACCCCATTGAGTTCTGCAAATAACAGCTGGTTAAATGTTTTGGAGTTACCCAACAAGTCAGAAAAACTGAGTGAATCATGTTGAGTACTGGTGTTGCTGTTCTCTCTCTCTCTCTCTCTCTCTCTCTCTGTGTGTGTGTGTGTGTGTGTGTGTGTGTGTGTGTGTAACCCAGGAAGGCTGGAGACAGTCTGAGTCTGGGGCAGTAAAGGGTGATGAGACCTGAGTTGAGCATTGCTGACCCTGTGGCTTGGTTCCCTTGGTCCCCATGCTTTGGCTCTGCTGAGTCCCATCTCTGGCCCGAGGTGATCCTTGGTGGTGGAAAGATGGGAGTCGGGTGGGGCGTGTGCTGAGCAGGGCATTCTGGGTGGCTTCTGCAGGAAGCAGAGCCACAGTTAGATCTTGCAGCTGTGTGCAGGTCTGGAGCCCCACCTTCTCTTCTACCCCCAGCCTGGATCTCAGGATGTCTCTGTTCGTGTCCCCCCTCTAGGCCCCTTCACACAAGAAATGTCCTGCTTCAGCTGCTGTCTGACCCTTCTATCTAAGTGTCCTCCTGGACTGTAGGGCGAGGGCAGTGGCAGGCAGTGGCCTGAATTCCACACACAGCATCAGGCAGGGCAATACTCTAGTTCCTCCCACTACCCATAAAAGATCCCCGGGCCCCCCCCACCCCCAGCCCTTCCAGTGCATAGGCCCTGGGTCTCCCTTCCCCACCCTCTCACCACCTGGGAGAGAACCTTAGACCCCCTAGCCAGCCATTGGCATCTGACACGGGTGAAGGAGTCCTGCTCTATCTAGTCTGCAGGCAGATGGAGCATGGACCATCTTGTCCTGGGTGAATGGAGCCAGGACTGCATGATGTCATTGTGCCCTCTTTCCCTGTGTGAGTCTGAAACTCAGGCTGACACAGGTAAATGAGCCCCTCATTCCCCTTCACTCAGCCTTTGTTTGGTCTGTAGGCTGTGGCCTGGACCCTTGCGTGGCGTGTCTGGTCTGGGGTCAGAGCCTGGCTTTTAGGTGTGTCTGTGA